TCTTGACCTTGGGTGACCTGTCCAGCTTGGCCTCCCAAAGTGCTGGGATTACAGGGATGAGCCACCATGTCTGGCTAATGTGTGTCTCTTTTCTAAAACATATGCAGAGGAATCAACTTGAGTGGTAAGAAGGAGAATTTTCATAATCCCTTTAGAAAAGTGTGAAACGTCTGATGAACCTGTGCCCTTTGGGGGAAGATGCATTCCAACCAATACCCTAGCTCTTTGAGAATGGCCTTGATGTTAAACTCACTTTAAAAGCAGCCGTTATTTGGGTGCTAAATTTACTTGGTTCTTCAATTTGCCCCTAAACAAGTGAAAGCTGGGAACCATTCTAGACTTCTCCCTCCCCTCACTGTGGATTCTGTGTCTCTAGCACCTCTCAGATTCAGCTCTCCCCCTGCACCCAGCGCCTCCAGGGCAGTTTCTCCACACACATCCTGCTTACCCCGCAGTGGGACTTGCTCCTGCCTCTATGCCTCTGCACATGCCCTCCTCCCCCTCTGAAACGTTCCCTGTGGTGTGTCACCTGCCTTCTTTTAGGTCATCATCTCTCCCTGCACAGGGCTCGTGTGTGGCCACTGAGAGTCTCCCACACGCTCAGCATTGGGTCTCTTACTTCTCCTGCCCATCATAGCTGCCCTGAAAGGTAGACAGGATTGGTGAAGAGACTTGCCAACCACAGGAATTAGGAAGTGAGGAAAATGAGACAGTGTCCCTTCAGTTTACCTGGGAGAGCAGGGTAAGCTTGGCCAGAGCTGAGACTCATAATGGCACCTTACCAAGAGAGGGGAGAAAGGCTATATCCTGAATGAAGGCATTCATCTCCCTTTAGAAAGAATGTGTCCTTCAGAAAGGGGCAGCACAAACATTGCCAGTGACCTCTACGCATTTCCCTGAGGGGATAGGGGAACTGGGCCATTTTTCTTTGCAATTTTCAGTCCCTTGGGAACACTATCCCTCAGTAGAGCTCTGTTTTTACCATCTTGAAATTCTTTATAGGTTCTGTATTTCTATACTGCATTGGGCCCTACAAATTATGCAGCTATCCTTCTCAGGACATACAAATGCTTAAAAAATGGTTGCTAACAAAAATGAGAGAGTATGTCCAATAGAACTGAAGGAAGGGCCGGGCGCAGTGACTCACACCTGTAATCCCAGCACTTTGGGAAGCTGAGGCAGGCGGATTACCTGAGGTCAGCAGTTCAAGACCAGCCTGGCCAACATGGTGAAGCCATCTCTACTAAAAATACAAAAATTAGCTGGGCGTGGTTGTGCACACCTGTAATCCCAGCTACTCGGAAGGCTGAGACAGGAGAATCACTTGAACCTGGGAGGTGGAGGTTGCAGTGAGCTGAGATCGTGCCACAGTACTCCAGCCTGGGTGACAGAGTGAGACTCCATTTCAAAAAAGAGAACCAAAGGAGGTACTGACTAAGAAACTAAGGAACATAAATACTCAGCTTCTGGCCTTTAGTTGAAAGACATTGAGGCAGCCACAAGACTCAACCTTTTGATGTCTCTAAGTGGAAACATTCTAAAATTCAGTCTTTATTGAAGGTATGTGTTCTGTTTTTCTTACAGAAGTAACTCATACTCATTGGAAAGATTGAATTATCAGAAAAATATATAACTGAAAGTCATTGTCTTCCATAATTCCTGCTACTGAGACATCACTTTTTTTTTTTTTTTAAACTTTTAAGCTCAGGGGTACATGTGCAGGATGTGCAGGTTTGTTACATAGGTAAACATGTGTCATGGGATTTACCATATGGATTATTTCATCACCCATGTATTAAGCCTAGTATCAATTATTTTTCCTGATCCTCTCCCCCCTCCCACCCTCCATTCTCCAAAAGGCCTCCAAAAGGTTCATCTCATGACCTTGCTATTGTAATAGTGCTGCATTGAACATATGCATGCATGTGTCTTTATGGTAGAAAAATTTATATTCCTTTTGATATATACCCAGCAATCCCATTGCTGGGTAGAATAGTTTAATTTCTGTCTTTAGGTCTTTGAGAAATTGCCACATTGTCTTCCACAATGGTTGAACTAATTTACAATCTCATCAACAGTGTATAAGTGTTCCTTTTTCTCCATAGTTTCACCAGCATGTTATTTTTTGACTATTTAATTATAGCCATTTTGACTAGTGTGAGATGGTATCTCACTGTGGTTTATATTTGCATTTCTCTAATGATCAGTGACAAGCTTTTTTCATGATTGTTGGCCGCATGTATAGCTTCTTTTGAGAAGTGTCTGTTAACATCCTTTGTCCACTTTTTAATGGGGTTGTTTGAGTTTTTTTCTTGTAAATTTGTTTAAGTTCCTTATAGACACTGGAGATTAGACCTTTGTCAGATGCATAGTTTGCAAAAATTTTCTCCCCATTCTGTACGTTGTCTGTTTACTCTGTTGATAGTTACTTTTGTTGGAAACAACACTATTAACAATCTGGTGTTTATTCCCCCAGGTACTTTTAATAGGTTATACTAATACATTATAAATAGTATTTAGTATTAATATTTTTATTATTTTAGAAAATTGACTACTGCTATGTGTGTTCTGTAACTAGTATTGAGGACAGACTAGAGAAGATCAAGAACGGGTCTAGTTGCTGGGCGCGGTGGCTCACGCCTGTAATCCCAGCGCTTTGGGAGGCCGAGGCAGGCGGATCACGAGGTCAGATCAAGACCATCCTGGCTAACATGGTAAAAACCCATCTCTACTAAAAATACAAAAAATTAGCCAGGCGTGGTGGCGGCCACCTGTAGTCCCAGCTACTCAGGACACCGAGGCAGAACAGCATGAACCCAGGAGACGGAGCTTGCAGTGAGCCAAGGTGCCACTGCACTCCAGCCTGGGTGACAGAGCGAGACTACGTCTCAAAAAAAAAAAAAAAAAGAATGGGTCTAGTTAACAGGCTACTGTGACCACCTAGAGAAAGATGAGTGTGGTTTGGGCATTCAAGTTGTTGAGAATTCTGACGTTATTTAAATGGAAAGCCAACAAACCAGATGTAGGGTGACAAAAAAGGTGGAGTCAAAGGGGACACCAAGAGTTTTGGCCTGAGCAAGTGGAAGGATGGAGAGAAACTGCTTCAGAGAAACTATCAGGGAAAGTCCACTGAGACGAGTTAAGTTCGAGGTGTCCATTGGTCATCCAAGTAGAGACCTCAAGCAGTCAAGTTCAGGGAATTTTGATTAAGGATATAAATCTAAAGTCCTTAGCATATAGATGATACTTGAATGAATGTAGATAGAAAGTAATTAAAAACATTTTTTTCAAACCTCTAAAGTTTACTGCCATTTAAGCTGGTTCAAAATACCTGTCATTATTATCAACACAGTGAAAAGTCAACATTTCATTTGTTCACAGCATGGGATAAAATATTGGCAAATCATATATTTGATAAGGGATTAACATCTAGAATATATGTAGACTCCTAAAACTCAACAGCAAATAAATAAATAAATAAATAAAAATAAAAAAATGGGCAAAGGACTTGAATAGACATTTTTCCAAAAATGATATACAAATGGCCAATAAGTACGGACTCAGCATCACTCATTATAAGGGAAATGCAAATGAAAACTACAATGAGATACCACCTCACATCTATTAGGATGGTTACAATCAAAAGAACAACAATAACAAAATAACAAGTGTTGGTAAGGATGTGGAGAAATTGGGACCCTGTGCACTGTTGGTGGGAATATAAAATGGTACAGCTGCTGTGGAAAATGGAATGGTGGCTTCCCAAAAAATTAAAAACAGAATTATCATATGATCCAGCAATTCTACTTCTGGGCATATACTCAAAAGACCTGAAGCAGGGTCTTGAAGAGGTATATATAGAGTCATGTTCACAGCAGCATTATGCACAATCGCTAAAATGTGAACGTATCCATTGATGGATGAATGCTCACTGATGGACAATGAAATAAATGGATATGCAAAATGTGGTATAAACATACAACAGAATATTATTCCACCTTAAAAAGGAAGGAAATTCTGACACATGCTACAATATGAATGAACCTTGAGGACATTATGCTAAATGAAATAAGCCAGTCACAAAAAAGACAAATATTGTATGAGTCTATTTGTACAACATACTTAGAGTAATGTAAATCACAGAGACAAAGTAGAATGGTGGTTGCCAGGGGCTGCGGAGAGGGAGAAATGGTCAGTTATTATTTAATGGGTGTAGAGTTTCAGTTTTGCAAGATGAGTTTTGGAGCTGGATGGTGGTGATGGTTGCACAAGAATATGAATCTACTTAACACCACCGATCTGCACACTTAAAAATGGTTAAGATGGTACGTCTTACATGTATTTTACCACAATTACAAAAATTGAAAAAAAGTATTAAAAAACTGGTAATATATGTTGAAGAAAAATATCTGCTATCAGTGACAAAGGTAGACTACAGGATATGTGTAAATAATACTCTGAGAGGCCTGACTGTGAAGTGAAGCAAAAGTTAAGACATGAACACACAAGATGGATGTATGTTGGGAGGAAAGCTGAGTGTTGAGCGAGGAGCTGAGGCAGGGCTTGGAACATGTCCGGGGTCCAGGGTAAAACTCCTTGGGGCCTTTGGAATGTGTCTAGACTTGCTGGCTCCTTGCTTCTAGCACTTTCATTATCTCAAGTAGCCATATATTTCAAAGAAAATGCTAAACCATCACAGCTGTAGCTTGTTCACTTGATACACCACTTCCTTTCAACCCCCCACATCCTCACCACCTGTTTCTTTGTTTGATCACCAATAAATAGCGTGGGATCCCAGAGCTTGGGGCCTTTGCAGCCTCCATACTAGCGTTGGCCCCCTGGTCCCACTTTCTCTCTTAACTTGTCTTTTCTCATTCCTTTGACTCCGCCAGACTTCGTAGCCCCCGCGGCCTGGTGTTGGGTCCGATCACCCCAACAGATGTATTTTCACTGTGTAGTCTCCAAAACATTGATAAAACAAGAGGAAAAAGTCACAGCCATTTGTTTACTTATTTAAAATCCATATTCTGAGTTTATTTTATCCTATAACTAGTTCAAATATTCACATGATTAAAGGTTTTTCAGAACAGGAGTAGGCTGGAGAGTCCCTGAACTCTCCTTTTACAGCCCCTTAAATCTTGGTTCTAGCTGGCATTTACTTGGCTTCCAGCTTTGAGAGAAGTAAATCAGAAGCATCTACCTTCTGGTAACCTAAGAAGGAGATTTGGAGCCAGGAGGCATTTCATGAGCAACTTCATGCTGAAAAGCCTCCTTGTAATTTATTTCTTTTGGCATTTTGAAGTTCCAGTCAATCTAGCCAGCAGACTCTGAAGGAGAAACCTGTTGAGGCATTCCTGGAATCATACTGGAAGTACCTGGCAGGAATTCCTGCTTCAAGGCCTCCTTCTCAAGGGGGTTTGTGTCCTCCTGCATGAATATGGTCTTCTTTGTGGAAACAGTTTCAGAATTCAGTTCCTAAATAGAAAACAAAACAGCAGAAAAGTTATTATTAGAGACTAAAGCACACAAGATGTATGGCAAAAACACGGTATTGCTATTTTCATGCCTGAGACTAAGAAACAAACTGAAAAAGCCCTGCTTTAACAAAGCATAAAACCAAATCTATAGGAATGAAGTTGATTCACCAATAATTTAACTCCCTGCCAGAACAAAACCCAATATCTTTTAATGGAAAACAACACAATCTAGACTCCCTATAAAATGTCCTCTACAATGTCCAGAACACAAGTAATAATTACTAGACATGTAAAAAAGTACGAAAATGTGAACCATAATCTAGAGGAAAAAGCATTAAATAGAAAAAGGCCCCAAAATGGGCTGGGCATGGTGGCTCACACCTGTAATCCCAGCACTTTGGGAGGCCGAGGTGGGCAGATCATGAGGTCAGGAGTTCAAGACCAGCCTGGCCAACATGGTGAAACCCTTCTCTACTAAAAATACAAAAATTAGCTGGGTGTAGTGGTGGGCGCCTGTAATCCCAGCTACTCAGGAGGCTGAGGCAGGAGAATCACTTGAACCCAGAAGGTGGAGGTTGCAGTGAGCTGAGATCTCGCCACTGCACTGCAGTCTGGGTGACAGAGTAAGACTCCATCTCAAAAAAAAAAAAAAAAAGAAAAGAAAGAAAGAAAAAGGTCCCAAAATGACACAGATGATGGAATTAAGAGACAAGAACAGCTATTACAAATATTTTTAAAAATCCAAGGTGGAAAATGGACATAATGTGAAAGTTAAGATGTATCAGCAGAGAAAATGGAAATTATATTTAAAAAACTAAATAGAAATTCTATAACTGAAAAGTACAATATCTGAAGTGAAAAAATTCACATAATCTCCAGATAGGATATAGGGCATTGCAGAAGAAATGGTCAGTAAAAATGAAGGTAGATCAGTAGAAATTATCCAAACTGAACCACATAGGAAAAAAACAAACAGAGCTTCAGTGACCTATGAGACAATATTAAGCAGTCTAACATCCATGTCCCTGGCTGAGGTAGGAATCCTCGGAGCTTAGGCTCTACTGACCCCCTCCACTCCAGTCTTTGCCTGGAAGTCGTACAGGTCCATTCTACAATGAGCCCTATGGGGCTCATCCTTGTCCACATGGTCTCTGAGACCCTTCTAAACTTCAAACTATTGGGTCTATGCAGCAAATATACATTGATTCTATCAACATGTATTTCTAAAACATTTGTATAGTTTAGATCTTCAACAATAGGAGTTTTCTTCTGACTCAGAAACAAAATTATCGTTTACTTAAAGCTGCATCTACTTAATGAAGAGATATTAATACCAAGGATAACCTCTGCCTGACTCAAATTCTACCTCCTCTATGGATACTTTTTGGTTCGGATGATTGGATATGAACCCTACCATACAGAGCATTCTGTTTCTATTCGTCTTTTGATACATCCACTAGATAAGCAGTATTCAATCTGGGGTACTCAAAGACTTGCTAACCTGTATCCAAGTCACGATGTTTTGTTTTGTTTTTAAAGAGATTAAGGAAAAAACTGCAAAGCTTTGAGTATATGCATATCAGTTCATCAGGTAAACTAGCAGCCCTGCTGAAATTTTATGCAACCCATCCTGGGCCAGTTTGAAATTGGTTTTCCCAGCACTAGTCACACCAAATGTGAAGGTGACCAATAGCAAGGAAAAGTTTGTAATCCACCTTGAATCAATCAGAAACCAGAACTTGGAATCTTGTCTTTTTGACACAACTCTGCCTCTTTGTCCTTTATTTAGCCTTGTCAAAGTTTGCTTGGAGAGTAACTCACATCTTAATGTTGTGGCTCTCTCTTGCCAGGTAAACTATAAATTTGGCTTCATTTTAGATCACTCTTGGGTTCTCTTTATTTCCTTCTAACATAGGGAATCGATTTCCATAATCACAACCTACACATGAACTCTTTCCTAAAACTGAGAACTTGCACACAGTCTAGACTTTGTGCTGGTTTTCGTTTCCCATCTTCCCTTACAACTGTTTACATCACACACTTGGCAAAAGAATGACATACCATTTACTTACCTAAATCTTGTTAAGGAATATTGCTACAGGATGCAAAACCTCCTCAGTGAAACACAAAAAGACAATTCAAAATATTGATGTGAGCTGAGAAATTTTCCTTAATAAAGCTACCATAAAACTAGGGTGGAGTTTTGGGAGTCTTCTTTAATATATTTCTTATTGCCTTATATATTTATATTTCTATTAACAGTAAAACACGGTGTTAGATAAATGGATTAGAGGTGGGCAACAAGGTGATGACAAATTCTGCTGAATGATCCTCACTTCTCCCATCTCCAAACAATTGCTTAAAGAAGGAATCCTTCCTGAGGGAGAGTTCCTTTAGACTATTGTCAAACAATAGAATGAAATTATCTTTTAATTTATTTACAAGACATCTAGGCTTAAAGAAGCAAATATATTCTTTATGAGGACGTTGAGTATATTAGTATAAATGTAAATAAGCTTAATATTTTCATGTCTTCAAATTGGCTTGGAAGCTAGCAAATGCTAGTGAATTGTAATGGACTGCATTAAAGACTTTAATGCACAGAATATAGTGATAGTTAAAAAGATGTCAGATATCAAACCCAACATTGCAATTGAGATGACTCTCTATCCAGGTATCTACTGCTTTATAGAAAGCATAGAATGGCATAAGGTGTTCTTCAGGAGATTGTGAAAAAAACTGTGGGAGGTAAAAGATATCCTTTTAGACTGACAAATGCAGAGTTGTCTTCAGCTATTCCAGCTTAATAACTTACACCTAATATTATAGCATCATAGAGGAGGCATCTGAAGTTTCACATAAAAGCAAATAGAATATAATAAACCAAATACTAAATACTAAGTTAAATATCTGAGATATGCACTGGTAACAACCATATTTGGTTTCTGAAAAATATTGACTACTACTTGAAAAGGGCTCAAAGGATCTTATATGAAAAAATATTTGTTCCAACTGAATAGATTTTTAAAAAATCAGTTTTTTAAAAAAATCAGATTTTTTGGCTAGGCGCAGTGGCTCACACCTGTAATCCCAGCACTTTGGGAGGCTGAGGTGGGTGGATCACGAGGTCAGGAGATTGAGATCATCCTGGTTAACACAGTGAAACCCTGTCTCTACTAAAAAAAAAAAAAAAAAAAAAAATTACCTGAGCGTGGTGGCATGTGCCTGTAGTCCCAGATAATCGGGAGGCTAAGGCAGGAGAATTGCTTGAACCCAGGAGGCGGAGGCTGTAGCAAGCCGAGATCGCGCCACCATGCTCCAGCCTGGGCAACAAAGCGAGACTCCATCTCAAAAAAAAAAAAAAAATCAGATTTTTTTAAAACCAGTAACACCAGAGTATTTCCTGAAATCTAAGACATATCTGTCTTTTAACATCTCCTTTTTTCATTAACAAAGATTGTCAATAACATTGGTTTATATGCAAATATGTGAATACAGAGTGAAAATCAGGCTAAAGGGATCCTTAATGTGCCTTGGGTGGGGACTGGGCTGACTTGTGGCTTTCCTGGATTCCATGTTGGGATGTGTGCGGCCACCCAAAGCTGAGTCCTTCTCCCTACCTTGTGACACTTTTCACAGTTCTGTTGAATCTGATACTCTTCCTGTTTCAGCATTTCTGTCATTTCCATTTCCTTGAGGCTACTGTCATATTCCTCCTGCAGCTGGATCTTCTCTTCCCTATTCTGGGGTGAGGTGACAGAGTCGAATCAGGTCAGCACCCAGGGAAGCCTTATAAATGGGGCCCCCTCACTGGAGACTGATCTGGGCTGTGGGCCTTTTGGGCCTGTTGAGTTTCCTCCTGTAACTAGCTTTAGCCTGCTAGTAGTTACAAACCCTTCAACTCCACAGCTCCTCTGAGTTGAAGCCCCACTCCTCTCAGCCCCCAGGATCCCCATGCTTCAGGGATATCTAGATCTAAGAGCAAGTCAAATAAACCAAGAAATTCCCCAGGCCAGCTCCAGAATCCTGCCTTGTGTCTTGGCTTTCAAATTACTCTAGGAAAGCTGGGCCCTCCCTAAGTCGCAGTGCCCATACACACCTTTTCTTTTGCTTTCGCTGTTTTCTCATAATGATAAAGCCAGTGAGCCAGGTATTCTATTGGGTCACTGGGCCGAACCTTCGCCACCTCTGCCAGTGCCTGGGCCAGGCAATTTCCAAAGCACCTCTTTAGGTAGTTAGTTTCCATCCTGGCAGCCTGGAAAACAAAGACGCGTTATTTTATTAACTTAGTCTGATATTAAAAATAGACACATTCTAACCAATTCAGATTTATTTCAGGATAAATATGAGATGTTTCTGGATCACACCCTTCCCAAAAGAACCAATGAACACTTACTTGCTCTTATATTCAAATGGACTTTTTCTAAAGTTCTCCAGCTGCACTAGGTCAGACAGTGTGGGTCCTAGGGTTTACCAGGTTTGCGAGGAGGTTGGTACTTTGGTGGTAAGGGTGGCTAAGGCCTCCCCTTACCCACACATTTTTGCTCTTGAGTAGAGAAAATTTAAAGGAGCAGGCAGGAGGTCCTGGGGAGGGGCACTGAGCACCCAGCAGGCTGTGCTGTTGTGAGGTAGGAGGCTACAGTCATCTATGACATAGATAAGATAGGCTCATTTATTTCACAAGGGACCACGGAAAGGCACTGGGGAGAAGAGAGAGGGAAAATGTTGGTGCTACAGCTACTGCTTGTCAGGAGCTCTGCCAGCACCTGATATAATGCTCCATTCTGTATTACTTAGGGATTTACTATTCATCATATTTCAAGAGCTGGAGGCAATGTAGCCCAAACTTAGGAGCAGCAGGGAATTGTGGCAGTAGGAATGCACATTCTGGAATAAGACAGACCAAGTTCCAGTCCTGATTCTGCCACTTATTAGCTGTGTGATCTTTAGCAAGTCACTCAGTCTCTCTCAGCCTCAGTTTTCTCATCTGTAAAATAAAAGTAACAAAAGTATGTAGCTCACAATAATTAGATTAGAGGTGATAATAAACACACACCAGGCACTTAGCCAGGCACAGAGTAACTGCTTATTACACTATTCAGTGGAGGATTGTGCCATGAAATGACCTAGGACCTGGCCTCCTCCTGACGGATTCCACATTCTTGAAGTTGACACATTTGAATTCCAAAAGAGCCCGGTGAATAATAAAAGCTTAGATCTAGCCTTAACATTTTCTGGAGGCATTTTTCAATTTTCCCCCCTACTCCCCATTTTCTAGCTTAAGGAAGGAAAAACAGATAGACAGATATCCATATCTATCTTACGCATATCTATCTTATGGATAGAGAAAAAAATATTTCCTAGCTCTCTCCACTACAAGGGCCTTGAAACCAAAACACTTCAGTAGCAATGAGCACACTGAGCATATAAACCTTGCTTGTAAATAGCCTTCGTCACTTAAGAGGAATCAGGGTGGCCAGGCGCGGTGGCTCAAGCCTGTAATCCCAGCACTTTGGGAGGCCGAGGCGGGTGGATCACGAGGTCAGGAGATCGAGACTATCCTGGCTAACATGGTGAAACCCCGTCTCTACTAAAAATACAAAAAAAAAAAAAACTAGCCGGGCGTGGTGGCGGGCGCCTGTAGTCTCAGCTACTTGGGAGGCTGAGGCGGGAGAATGGCGTGAACCCGGGAGGCGGAGCTTGCAGTGAGCCGAGATCACGCCACTGCACTCCAGCCTGGGAGACACAGCGAGACTCCGTCTCAAAAAAAAAAAAAAAAAAAAAGAGGAATCAGGGCTCCTTGGAGAAATGGCTGATTCCAAGGCTGGGGCAGGACAAGTCTAATGGGCCTGGAACATTTGGTTTTGCCAGAAAGTAAGAAAATTCTGAAAAATACAATGGGTGGGGACAGAGAAGCCAGCTTGAAGGGGCTCCTACTAGTCAAATCTGGGGCAGTTTAACCATTAAAATAAATAGCGACTGTAATGGATTATAAATTACAGAATAAAATAAGACTCCATGAGTCCATATGAGAATATATACATAGATTAAGAAGGGAGAAGGCAAAGTTCTTGTTAAAGTAGAATGCCAACTAATAAATGTGGGGAAAATAATGGAGTTTTAAAAAACTGCCATTTCCTCACCACCATAGTATAACTGAATCAAAGCAGAATCATCAATGAGTCAATGAGTGCTAAACCTGGGTGAACATTTGACAAGGAATAAGATATATGCATAGTCTCAAAGTTTCTTCTCACAAATTAAGTATTAATTCCAAAGGAAATACAGAAATTTTACAGTGGCAAAACCTGGCCAACAAAACCTTAACCAAGTAATCACAGTAAATATCACCAATAAAGGAACAAAGTGACATCAAGTGCCTCCTGATGGGATGTACTTCTTATGGTACATAAAACATTTCCATGGATTCCTGTCTAAAATGCAGTATTTGAATGTAATTGAAGAAACAGCAAATAAATCCAAAGCAACTACCCTGTACTCTTAAAAATGTTGAGGTTATGAAAAAAAAAAAGAGTAATTGTTATAGATCAAAGGAGACTGAACAGCTATAATAACTACATGTAACACATGATCCTAGATTGGGCCTGGGCAGGAAAAAATAATTCAGCTGGGCATGGTGGTGCATGCCTGTAAACCCAGCACTTTGGGAGGCTGAGGCAGGAGGATCACTTGAGCTCAGGGGTTTGAGACCAGCCTGGGCAACATGGCAAAACCATGTTGCCCATGCTTTTGTATTCCACAAAAAATACAAAAATTAGCCAGGTGGGATGGCACACACCTGTAGTCCCAGCTACTTGGCGGCAGGGGGTGGGGAGGTGCATGGGGTCTTACGGTGGGAGGATCACTTGAGCCCAGGAGGTTGTGGCTGCAATGAGTTGAGATCTCACCACTGCACTCCAACCTGGGTGACAGAGTGAGACCCTGTCTAAACCAAAAAGAGAGAAGAAAAAAGAATTCTATAAAGGACATCGTTGGGAAAATTGGATGAATTGAATGTGAAATGTAGATTATGTGATATAATATATCCAAGTTAAATTTCTTGATTTTGAATACTGGAAGTATGAGTAAGAGAATGTCCTTGTTCTAGGGCTGAATAATGGCTCCCAAATGTGTCCATGTCTGAATACCTGGAACCTATGAATATGTCACCTTAAATGGCAAAAGGGACTTTGTAACTGTGATTAAATTAAGGATCTTGAGATAGGGAGATGATCCTGGATTATCTGAGTAGGAACAATGTAATCACAGATGTCACTGTAAGAGGGACACAGTACGGTCAGACAGGGAAGGTGATGCCAGAGCCGAGGGAGAAAAAGCGATGTGATCCAGGTCCTTGAGCCAAGGGTATCCTCTAGAAGCTGGAAAAGGCAAGAAAATGGATTCTCCCCAGAGCCTCCTGAGGAACCTGTGCTGCTGACACTTTGCTTTTAGCTCTACTAAATTCATTTTGGACTTCTGACCCCAAGACCTGCAAGGGAATTAAAAAAAAAAATTTTAGTGGGGTAGTGATAGGGTGGGGACAGAGGTGGGTGGTGTCTCCTGCCAATCGGTGTCTCCTGCCAATCTGTGTGGCCCACTTGAACCAATGCATTTGGATAAACAACCTTCTACACCCTTCTTACTCAAAGCTGGTTTGATGACAGATGACCAGCAGCATTTCATCACCTGGGGACTTGTCGAGATGCAGAATCTCAGGTCCTACCCCACCCCACAGATTCAGAACCTGTATGTTAATAAAATCTCCAAGCAACTTGTAGTTACCAATCTACTTTGCCTGGATCACTGTAGAACTGTCCTTCCCAGAAGGCAGAATCACCAATTCTGCATTCTCTGGTCATTGGGTGGCTGCCACACTCCTTACATGTGGCAAGCCATATTGGCATACCTCCACCTACTCTAAATTGCCCATTTTCAACAATGATCTGAATGAAATGTGTTTCCGCAACAGTCACTGAGATGTGGTACAAAGACAGTAGAGCCAGCATAGAGTCACAGCGTGAGGCCTGGAGGGGAAGAAGTCAAGGGGATGCCTTTTATTTTTTATTTTTGAGACAGAGCCTCGCTCTGTCACCCAGGCTGGAGTGCAGTGGCGCAATCTCGACTCTCTGCAATCTCTGCCTCCTTGGTTCAAGCGATTCCGCTGTCTCAGCCTCCCGAGGAGCTGGGATTACGCCCGGCTTTTTGTATTTTTAGTAGAGACGGGGTTTCTCCATGTTGGCCAGGCTGCTCTCCAATTCCTGACCTCAGGTGATCCACCCACCTCGGCCTCCCAAAGTGCTAGGATTACAGGCGTGAGCCACCGCGCCTGGCCAAGGAGATGCCTTTTAAGGCCCACTCAGACCAATTTAGGGTACACTCACCAACTGGGGGAGAGGCTATTTTTCGGTGTTTCCCAGAACTCGCCTGACGGTCTGCTTACATTGTTCCTGGCCTGCACTCAATAGGCAAAACAAGAATAGGGGTTGTCTTTGTTTGCTGTATACCGCCCATGCTTGGCACACTAGGAGCTCAGTAAATATTTCTTGATTTATTCATTGAGAGCTCTGACGCCTGTGCTCATGCTTCCCTTTGATTTTTCCTTGCCCACTCTGGCACTTACTATCTCAACTAACATCTACTAAGGCCTCTCTTGCCCGGCACTGCCCCGCCCATAAGCTGAAAGAGAATACGGGAAAGGCTAGTACATGCACAGACGACTAGGCCGAGGAGGACTGCAAGGGCTTGGGCCTGGTGGACACCGGACGGCTTCCTGGAGGTAAGGCACCCGAGTTGGTTCTGAAAGGAACCAAGCAGAGGTCACCAGCAAGAGCAAAGGTGCGGAGCTGTGAAACTGCCAGGCTATTAGCAGCTTGCAGTGACGGTCTTCCAACGACTCTAGGTCTTCCGCCCTTCTCCGATTGGCTGCCCTTCCTGGTTCCTCCTCAAAGCGCGCCACCCCCTCATCTCTCCCAGAGCATGCCTGCCTGCCAGCCAGCGTCCCTTGCTCTTTTCGGTCCCCCCACTCCTCCAGGTTTCTGTGCAGCAAGTCTCCTCAGCTCACCCACCTGCGCGCCGGCACATATGCCTTTCCTCGACCCTTCGTGCGCACACCCCGCTCCAGCGTGCCCGCTCCTCTCTGCTTGGCGCCCCGCTCCTACGCGCCCCCTCCTTCCCGGCCCCCGCCCCTTGGAGCGCGCCCGCTTCTCTCTGCCGCGCTCCCCTTCTCGCATTCCCTCTCCGCCACCTCGTGCGCGCTCTCCCTCCTGCACACCACCTCCTCTCTGCCGCACGCCCGCCCCCTGAACGCCCGCTCCTCTCTGGCCCCCTCCCCTTGCGCGCGCCCCCTTCTGCACGACCCCTTCTCTATGTCGCGCGCCCCGCTCCTGCACGCCTCCTCCTCTCTACCGTGTCCGCTCCACTCTGCCGCGCCCCCTCTACTCTGCCGCGCGCTCCTACCCCTGCACGCCCCCTCCATTCGGCCGCGGCCCCTCTACTCAGCGGTGCGCTACTGCTCCTGCACGCCCCCTCCTCCCTGCAGCGCGACCCCCCACGGCCCCCCCTTTCTGCTGCGCGTTCCCCCTCCACCGCCCACTGCGCGCCCTCTGCTCACCTACACGGGCTCCTGAGGCGCGCGCTCTCGTTGCCTGGCAACGGGACGCGGCTCCCGGGTGGCTAGCGGGCGCGTGTGTCGGGTGTGCGCACCGGGAAGGCCCGAACTGTTTTTGAGATTAGTTCCTCTAGCTTCGCTGGGTCCGGCGGGCAGAGGCGGTTCTGACCGTTGGGCCTTGGGCGTCGAGCAGGACTCACCTGAGGCGGAAGGAGGCCGCTTCGCGCCTGGGGCTCCCGAGAGCAGCCGGCTCTCCTTCTCCTGCTCGTCCTGAGCGGGGAGCGCTGCGTCTCTGTCTCCTGCGGGCTGCGGGAGACTCTTCCAGACTCCCGGGTGGGAAAACCACATCGAGCGCCCCGGGAGGTTGCCAGATGCAATACTGTACTGCATGCGCAGGTAACTGAATTTCAGATAAACGAGTTACTTTTCAGTACAAATATAGTATCACGCAAAGTTATTTGTTGTTTATCTGAAATTCAGAGTCACCTGGGCGAGCTGGGTTTTTAGTTGAGAAGTCTGGCACCCCTGCCCGGGTGCCCCTGCCCAGTCGGCTGGCTGTCTCCCAGGTGTGGGTAAGGAACCTCCTTCCATCTCTGTGGCACCTTCTTCAGGCTGTAGGCAGCTGTTTCTGTGGGAAACGGCTTTCTTATGTTGAGCCAAGATGCCTATTGGTGTATATGAAAAATAACATTGGTTACCACAGGAGAGATGGGTATTATCCTCGTTTCACGGACAGGAATATGCTAAGGGAGTTGGCAGGCCTTGCCTGGGTCCCACTGATATGCCCAGAAATCCGAGACAGAGCCTCCCCTGACTTGGCCCCACTGGTAGGCCAGAAGTTTTCTCTTTGGGGATAATGGCCCCCTTCCTACCTTCCCACATTTTATCTTTCTGGAGCAGTAATAGGAGTCTGTTCCCTTTTTTTTTTTTTTTACTTCAAATGACTTTGACATGTCTTTGTAGCGTTTTGGTCTTTCAGATACATCCTACTGAAGAAATACAGTGAAGATACTGTGTTCCAAAGTCATTTGTAATAATTCTTTTCTCTGTGTGGTTAAGACACCAATATCAACCTGATTTGGAATTAGGTTCATTAGTGCCAGTTTGCTTTCAGTTTTTAGAGTTTTTATGACTATGTTTATATATACACATATTCCTTTCCTCACTGCTGTTGCTAATGCAAAAGATGACGGATCATATACAATTTCAGCACCTTGTTTTCTTTATTTTGTGTCTTAGAGATCACTCTTTAGTTTCTTCATTCTCTTGTACATCTGCATAATAATCCATTGTGTTGCTCTTATTAATCCCCAATTTGATGAACATTTAGATGGTGCTTCAGTGTGACTATTGTAAATAATGCTGCAAATACCTGTGTGCATATGCCATTTCATATTTTTGCAACTATATCTTTGAGATAGGATCCAAGAAGCAAGATTGATGAGTCAAAGGGTGAATGCATATGTGATTTTCTAGATGTTGTCAAATTCTCCTCCATAGGAGTTACACCATTTTGCCTTCCCACCACTGTCATATGGCATATGCGCATGGTTATGCATAAAATTTCAGAGACACTGAATTTTTCCATAGAATAAAAATTGGGGGTTATGGACGGACCCCCAGATGTCAGTGTCTCTGAACTTTTATGCAAAATGCTAGGTGCATTTGTCCAGGGACAGGTTTAGACACAGTGGCATTCTATCCCCTATAATTGCCATGCTCATTCTTATATCAGGGCCTTTCCTCATACCTAGAAGACTCTTCCTTCTCTTCTTTGTCATGTTAATTTTACTGTTTTTTTTTTTTTTTCTTTTTGGGTAAATGTGAGCTTAGCTCAAATGTCACCCCCAGAGAAGCTTTTTTTTTTTTTTTTACTTTCCTGACTTGATCAGCTCCTCCTCTCCTCTGGTCTCATAGTACTTATTTTAACTTCAATTTCATATTTATTGATTTAAATATTTATCTTCCCTTCTCATCTGTAAGCTCCATGAAGGCAGAGACTGTTTTTGTTTTAGTTTGGGCTGCTATAGCAAATTACCAACACTGGGTGGCTTAAAAACAGTACACATTTATTTCTCATCATTCTGGAGGCTGGAAAGTCCAAAATCAAGGCATTGGCATTTCTGGTGTCTGGTGAGGACCCTCTGCCTGGTGTGCAGGTGGCTGTCTTCTAGTTTTATTCTCAGATGGCAGAGAGTGAGAGCAAGCTCTCCCGTCTCTTTTTATAAGGGCATTAATCCCATGCATGAGGGCTCCACACTAATGATCTAATCACTTCCCAAAGGCTCCTAATACCATCACATTGGGAGTTAGGATTTCAACATACAGATTTTTGGGGACACAGACATTCAAGCCACAATAGTTTTGTATTCCCAGTACCTATCATGGTGCCTGACCTACAACAGGTATTTTTGTTTGTTTGTTTGTTTGAGATGAAGTTTCACTCTTGTTGCCCAGGCTGGAGTGCAATGGCACAATCTCAGCTCACTGCAACCTCTGCCTCCCGGGTTCAAGTGATTCTTCTGCCTCAGCCTTCCTGGTAGCTGGGATTACAGGCATGTGCCACCATACCTGGATAATTTTGTATTTTTAGTAGAGACAGCATTCACCACTATGGCCAGGCTGGTCTCGAACTCCTGACCTCAGGCGATCCTCCAACCTCAGCCTCCCAAAGTGCTAGGATTACAGGTGTGAGCCATTGCACCCAGCAAATATTCATTATACATTTGTTGAACAATTGATTACATTTCATCAGACTATCAGGAGAGTCTGGATTTCTTAAAATATTAAGGGTAATCTGAGGGTGATCAATTTTTCCAAAGCACCTGAAAGAGATTGGTTGCTGCGTTTTTCCTTTTCTGTTTTAAAAACAATCTGGTCTATGATTATTCCTGTTTATCTTCATAACTGGAAGGAGTAGGACATAACTGGGAGAGTGGAGAAATTCATTCCCTTGCCACCATGGAGAAACAGCTGTGTCAGCCCTGTGATTAAAACACTCTTCAAGCAGCTAGAGGAGTTTGTCTTCTAGTGGGAAGACAGACACACACACACAGAGATAGTGTAATTCTCTATGATAGTGTGGTAAATGCTATGTAAGCTGCTTGGAGCAAGAGGAACTTCTTTGGGTTGCCTGGGAAAGCTCAGGGAATAAGAAATGATTCTCTACCTTGCAGGGGAGGAGATCTTTTGAGAGAGAGAGAGGAGAATGAGGGATCATCATGTACAAGAGTCATGGAGATGGAAATGTGCAAGGGGTGGTCATCGGAATGGCAGGATGTCCATGGAGTTAGAGCCCAGGGTGTGCTGGGGCCAAGAGAGATGATGTCTGGAGGTGAACCTGAAAAGAAAATTGGGGCCAGATTGTGAGGAGCTTCATATGTTATTATTTGGAGGCTGAGTTTTCATTCTTTGGCCTTGGAAATTTATGGATTTTTTTTTTCAAAAGGTGGACTATTGTGATGCTTTGTAAAAATGGCTCTCATGGCTTAGGAGGGACATTTTAGTGTAGTCTTTAGGGTTAGGGTTTTGGAATCAGGAGGTGGGTACAAACCCTGCCTCCTTCATCTGCCAGCTGTGTTATCCTGAACTATGCACTTATGCTGTCTGTGCCTGGGCTTGCTCATGTTCCCATTGGGATCATGATACCTATTTTTCAGGTATGTTGTGAGAATTAAATGAGACCCACATAACTTGGCATTAAGTAAACTTGAAATCAATGATGATAATATCTCTTTTCTGACTCTTGGACTTGAGGTCCTCCAGGACTTTTGAAACCGTGTTAGTTGTAGTGACTTCTGTGGAGTCCTTTTGGAAACTAAAACTATTAGAAGTTTCCTGGGGCCAGCTTGCTTGTGACACCCCCAAGAGGAGGTGGACATGACTGAGGGCAGGGTGTATGTAAGGCTTTGTTCAAATCACTGGACTTGAGTCTTATAGTGACTTTATTGAAGATATCCTGCAGTAATGCAAAAACACTTACTTTTTAGGAGTTTTTATTTAGGAGTTAGAAACGGAGTCAATATATCTTCAAAAGCACCTTGGGGCATGTTTAACTCAAGGTCTTGCAGAAGTGGCAAGAGTTCGCCCAGTGGATCCAATAGAATATTTAGCATTGTGGATTTACAAGTTTAAGGACAATGTGACCATGGAACAACTGGTAAGTAGGAATCTCCTTCTAGAAAATTAGAAGAAAAAAAATTGGTCGAACTTGCCTGCTTTTTAAAAACTTTAATATTATTATTTTTCTGTTATAAAAATAATGTTTATTATACAAAAACTTGAACAACATGGAAAGTAGGAAGGAGAAAACAGTACCCAAAGAAGACTTCTATTTAGATTTTTAGGTAATTCCTTTCATGGGAAGTATTTTTTCTATAGATTTATAGATTTGTTTATGCATTTGTGATCATACACAATGTATAACTTTAATATTGTGCTCATTATTCAGATAAAATATCTTCCCAAATTATTATATTGTTTCTAAAGGGATGGGCTATAATTTGTTTAACCCTTTCCCTAATTGTCTCTATTAAATGCTTTGAAGATTGCTTTTACAAATTGCTTTCTCTCTAAGAAGTCATGTGCTGTTGTTTTTAAACAATGCTAGAGACAAAAGGAAATGGCCGAGCTGGAGCATGAAAGAGAATTAGCTCTGATGGAGCAGGAAATGAT